ATTCTTCAAAAAATGATATTGTATTCGCCGAGTATAGAGTTGAAATCTAGGTCGTGGTAGGCAGGTGCCGTGACATCGTGATCGGAAGGAATCTGTTCCAAAGATGGACTGGTTCTGGGATCTCTTCTGGCGGGTTCGGAGATGGGAGTGATATGGGTTAGATATTCTTCGAATTCCAAGGCGATGTCGGTGTTTGATGGGTCTGGACTAATGGTGATCGCCGTGGCTTCGGTGTTGGGAGATTAATTTGGCCGAGTTAGGATGTCGCACACGAAGCTCAAACGGAGGAATCCACTGGCTCGGTATTTCCGGGACACAAGAAGGTGTGTCGTGCGGAAATTTACGGAGTGAGCGGTCCGTGGTGAATTTCTTTTTAAGTTCTTTGATTTCAGTGGTGGTAAAGTTATGGTCCTTTATAAGATGACGGTATAGGTTAGAGCGCCACTTGTATCGGCGTCCGCATTCTGGACAATATGGTGAATCTGCATAATGATCTCGATGTGTTCTTCAGGTATGATCGTTGATCTCTCCTGGTTGGCTGGTTCCTAAAAGCTGAATGAGGCTCTCTTTGTGTCTTAGCCGTTTGTTCAAATTACGTGACGTCATGGTTAGAATAATGACGTCAGGTTTGTGATTGGATTCCTGGAAATGGTTGCTGACCGGGGTTTCCTTATTCCTTCTAATGTCGCTGAGGTGATTGGGAAATCTTTTTTTTTTGCAATTATCACTGGTTTGGCCAATGTATTGTTTGCCGCAAAAGGAGCAAATAATGGCGTATATAACATAAGGGGTTAAGCAGTTTAGGTGTTCTTTGATGGTAAAAACATTAGAGTTGGTTTTGGATTTTATGAGTATTGTCTTCATTTATATATCGGCATAATGTGTAGTTACGTCCACATTTTTTTACATCCTGCTGGTTTGTGTATATGCAGTTACGTCCACACTTTTTACATCCTGCTGGTTTGTGTATACGGAGGGCGATATCTGATCTAATCAGCATATCTCGTAAGTTTCTATTGCGTTGGTAGAAGACAACAATCTTTTTGTCCGCTATGAAGTTGGTTTCGACGTTTGATTTTACTATATCGAGTGGATCGTTGATGAGTTTATGATGGTTTAATCATGGGATGTACTTGGTACTAAATACGATGGAATCTTGTGTTTTCTTTTCTTTTTGGACTAACGGGTCTGCTCGGGGTTGAGATCTGGCTCGGTCAAAGCTTGATGCTATTAGATGTAGGGGGTATCCTCTTTTCAAAAAGTGTTTTCGACAGGTTTTAAGCGAATTTTCACGATTTTCTATCGTACTGGAGATGCGGCATATTCTAAGGGCTTGACTGTACGGGGGGGCTTCTTTTTAGGGGTTCTGAATGGCTGTTGTTGTAATGTAAATAGAAGAAGCTGTCTGTGGGTGTTTGGTAAAGACGGGTTTGAAGGCATTGGTTTTCGTCTAAATATAAAGTGTGACATCTAAGAAGGTAATAATTTTAAGACTGTGTTCAAGGGTTAACTTGATGCTTGGTATTGAATAGAGTTGGTATCTTCCATGAATCTAGTAAGATTCTCTAGTGTGGCAGGCCACTAAAAAAATATATCGTCAATGTATCTCCACCAGACTAGAGGTTTGATGGGGCTTTTGTTAAGTATAGTTTCTTCGAATTGGGTCATGAATATGCAAGCGGTGTTAGGGGCCGCTTTTGTCCCCATTGAGATGCCGTTAGTTTGGAGGTAGAGCAAAAAGGTACAGCCTGTGATGTTACAGCCATTTAACACTGAAGTCAATGGGACAATAATTGCTAGTCGAAGACCTGGTAGCTTCATATTATAAACGAATTATGTCCCTTCTTTCCAGCACGTGATAAAGTCCGATTTTGTCACAAAAACACCATGATTGTTAATAAAACTAATCTTTTTGCCACGAGGAATGTTCAAACAACGAAACATGTAGTGATAATCAGTTGTCATTAAAGCGAGAGGGAGAGAGAGAGAGAAATGGAGTTTAACGTCCACTCGACACAAACTAGGTCATTTCGGGACTAACACATGGTTCAATTTTATTTCTATAATTCGCTTGCGCGTTGGGGTCTTTAGCAGTGGGAGGAAACCGGAGGACCCAGAGAAAACCCACGAGGTTGGACAGGCGACCCTATGTCATTAAAGCATAAGTGTTGGTCATTGGTGCAAAGGTTCTGCTTTGGTTAGACTGTTCCAAGTCATGCCAGCCCATTTGTACACTTCCCTACTAAATACATAACATGAGAATTGCCGTTGCATGGTCCTGCAATATTATTTACGAGTTACCGCTCCGACCCTTCCGTTTCGGTAAGCGTGGAATTCGAAAAATGACGATTTTTTTTTTACATGTTTTCAGAGTATTGCAGTAGTCTAGTGGGTTAAGTTCCAGTCATTTTTATATTCTTCTGGCATATACTTACTTAAAGGAATGTCATCCATCACCACACCAAGCAATTATATTCCAGGTCGACAAAGACGGAGTTACACACGTTTTAGGAAACGACCACTTATAGATTACTCACAGAAAATTCGACACGATTCAGTCATTCCCAAAAGCATGCAATCTGAACCTGAACCAATCAAAAAGTAAGGGTCACAACATCTGATAGCGTAAAATTTGGTCGAAATATCTGGCCAAATTGGCTCCCAAAACGAAAATTTCCCGTTATACCAGAAGTTGAGAAACACAAGCTCACTTCATTGTGTGACTTCTGATGCCTGGAAAGCCCCGCAGACCAAGAATGATTAAATATTGCCGGCTTCCAGGGTTTTTTCCAATTTCTGCATGGTTCTCTCATGGATGTGTTATTAAAGGGAAATAACTCTTTATGGATTGTAGGAAGATTTGCATGGTTAAATTAACAGACCACTAAAGATTTTACCATTTAAAACGTTCCGTTTTTCATCGGTATTAACTGATTCCATTTGAATTTCTGAAATTGTAGGAATATATTCAGGAGAGTGGAAAACGTGACCAGAGATAATTAGACATAGAGTCACCTGGGCAGTAGTTGTTGGTATCTGACAATAAGGAACAGAATCTTGTATTTCTTGATAGGTTGGTGCGATCTGGGATAGCGAGATCGGATTCCGGTTGGTATCACTTTCAAACGGTAAAATACAAACCAGTTTTTCAAAACTGACCGTAACATCCATGTAAAGTATGTCGATCTAAGTGGGTAAGACGCTGGCTCGCTAGCCTGGAGGTCGGGTGTTCAGTCATGTGGCATTAACAATGGAAAACCACGCCGGAAAAATCCCAAGGAACATGCTTTGCCGAACATCGGGATCGAACCCGCGATCTCCAAGAAGAATAGGCGGAAACGACGCAGTCTGGGCACATTTTCCCTCACACACAACATGGTTTATCCCTATCTGCATTAGTCAGGAAAGTGCTCTAAATCTCATCTACATCGACGTAATTTTAAAAATTTCTGGGGAAGCCCCGCCTATCCCGCATCGCTACGACCCTTCGGAACGAGCAGTCTCCGGCGGATAATCGCTTAATCTGCCCCTGGATGAAATCGATAAAAATTAATAAACACGTAATATACGGTCAGTTTAAATAATGTGTGTACCATAAGATAACTTTTGACTATGTCCATGTTTACCGGTCCGTAAAAGGTCACAACAATTTGATTTTCTGTTCTTAGGGGTCTTGATAAATAACGTGAAAGGTGTTTTGTTTTTGTTTCCGACGGTTATGATTCATCGTTCCTTCTGATAAATTTGTCCTAGACTAACATGTATAATGGTAACTGAAAACTCAAATATCGGGATTCTAGTTAGTTGATGTGTCGAAAACATCGATGTTTGGATATTAAATATACATTATATATGCAAGAGCTAAATCTGCCTATTGCTGCTCTTTCTTTAAACCTTAAATGTTATATAAACTATTAATTAGACATTTATTAACATGACAAGAACATAATCAACCCTCGGTGTCATCTATTGGTCATGACTGAATGTTAATGATTAACCGTAAAACTGGATAATCGAGACTTTGTTTATTATCGTAACAACGGTAACAATCACAATCGAGGCTACGGTGTTTTTTAAATTTGGGTTTCTCGGCTTAGAGTGAAGTAATTTGAATGAAATTCTCAGCGTATTCTCTTTACGTTATCTATTTTTTAACTATTAATATAGCGAGCACTGTCAGCTCTTTATCTAGTCTTCCTTAATGCCCCTTTAACATTAGTGTTTCGAAATAGAGTATGGATGTCCTCTTTTTTAGTCTTATTCTATTCTGTGCAATAATTTATTTATGAAACATATTTAATATTGTATTTAGTCTCTAATGCCATTTCTGAGTGTAAAACGTTTTTTTCTGACTGCTTTGCTCACCAATTCATCAAAACGCCCTAAATTCAAGACTAAAAAGAAAGCCCCCCTGTCGAAACTGTTCGAGAACATAAACTTCTTTAGCAGCCCCCCCCTCCCCCGCCTGCCATAATAATAGACTTCTTTTTCACCGATCGATACAAGGAATTTAGACTGATGCAAAACTCTTAATTTACACACGAAACGTGTAAACGGTGAAATGGCAAACAAAGCCTTATCCAATTTCAGCTTATCACAAAAGGGGTGAATTACAATCACACATTCCTACATGTACAGTGCTTTACAGTGGTTGAAAATGAGAACCAGTCGTGTGCTACCCGGTTGTTTTCCTGACAATTTTTCTTCTACGATTTATAACTTCGACACACAAGTTATTCTTTATCAGCACACTGCTTTACCTTTTTAAACGAAGTGTATTTCACTCAAAAAATAAAATAAAACACGTGACATTAATTCACACTACCAATTAACCTTTAGGCTAACGCATGTACGTTAGTTGTCTTCAAGTCGTTACGGTTCGTGGTGTTTGAGTTGCTTCACTTTACAGGTGTTGATTATTCTTTGTTTCCAGTCTGCTGTAAAATCTCCCACTTTAATAGCAGACGACAACAGCGCCATATTAGCCTCGTTTTCGTACATTAAGCCGCGTTGTTTCTACTTGCACAGTTTGTAGTCAAACCAGCCCAGTGAGCATTAATAAGTTAAACATATCCGTTTGTTTTGAAGCAGACAAATCAGTGCATCATCAGTCACATTACATTAAAGGACTGAAACTTACCAACTGTGGAAAAAGGCGTCTGCTTTTGTGACGTAATTTCCTTTTTCAAACCGGACTCGGTGTGGATAAAGATAGAAAGGAACGCGGCTACCGTAATATTTTCATCGATTGGAGTATTCCTGCCTTGATTCAAGCGCTACAAGTTGTTATTGTGTATCTTGGAGTAAATAATATCTAAAAATGGCTCTTGGAAGTTGTCATACCTGTATCAAATATCTGATGTTTGCCTTCAACTTTTTGTTTTGGGTGAGTTACACTATCTTAACTAAATATGACTGTAATGCAATTTATTTATTACAATCGAAGCTAACATCTAGCGGCCCAACCCACTATCGGTTACTGTAACACACAGCCCCATGTACTCGTCTACTACAACCATACGTTCGAACCCATAACAATGCCCACAGATCTATACATTTTAGAACACTGAATATTTCTCTTGGGGTTCTGCTTTTACCCCAGTTAACCGACCTCCAACAATGACCTCAAGCTTCCCCGAAGCGTATCGAATAAAGAATTAGAGCGCCGAGATGCACTCCAGCTGAATAATACATGTATAAGATTATTGGAAGGCCTACCTACTGAAAAGGCCAATGGAAGTTAATACGTATTACCAACAACCTTGTAGAGTGAAAATAAGTCATTTCCCCAAACTAGACCGCTGGGTCGATTAAAAGATTTATTGCGAATATACTTGTGTACGGTCGTTGGTGAACGGATAACTTTCTCTTGATTAAGATTTATCTTTCATCACGTTGCTGCTGCAGTTATTTATTTTATGTTCTCCTATAAACGTTGATGAATGATAATAAAATGCTTATTAGTGTTGCGACATCGCATGACTTTGAACTGACACAGTAAAGGGATTGTCATCGCCCACTCAATATTACCAACAAACTGGGTTTACCCAAGCACAAGTGCTGATATTGTATGTACAAATAAGTATATAAGATTCAAATTGTTTATATTCGTATAACGGAAGTCTGACATTATGGCAATCCAAAGGTTTCGTACTGAAGTATTTTCACATTAATTGTGCTGTCTTATCAACTATATTTCCAAAACAAACAAAAATGAATATCAATTCTTTTATTAATATTGCATGATGGGCGCCTTGCAAGGACAGCGTCTAGTCATTCATATGGTGTGCACTTCAAAGGAATACCTGACAACTCATCCCAAAGACAACTCATCCCAGACAACTCATCCCAATAAAAAGACAACTCATCCCAATAAAAAGACAACTCATCCCAAGTTAGAAGACAGCTCATCCCCAGTCAAAAGACAACTCATCCCAAGTTAGAAGACAACTCATCCCAACTTTAAAAAAAAACAATAATCATTCCAAGTTACAAATAAATACCGCAACAAATATTGATTTTTTTTTATTATTTATTAAATTAATCAGTAATATAAAAATTTATTATATCAACAATTTATATAAGAACAATAATAAATGATTTCCACCGCTAGTTTCAAGAAGTATCGACATGTCATTTAAACCCTTGGCGGGCCGGATCTGACCCCTACTTTAGAGGCTATATTACATGTATAACGTCACTTCTATTAAATATTCGATTTCCGGACCATTTACTGCCGCAAACAATGGATTGCCAGTCAAATGTAACATAATTTGTAAAATCTCATAAAACCATATTCACCATTACACATGAACATGCCATTATTTATTTATTTATTTACATAAATGAATTCTAATTTATCGAATTGGAGTATTTCTGTGATGTGCATGGGTTGTAACGGATGCATGTATACGTTGATGTCTAAATGTGCAGATCTTCCTGTGAAGAATTTAAGCTCGTAGCTGGATGGCAACCAGCAAATACGAACCTACATATAAAACCAATTATCATCTATAGCCGTGATTGTAATTAGGCAAAGGGAGTAATCAGACCATTGACGTTGGACATTTTTCACGTCTCAAGGATGTAATAATGAAGTTATTAGTGTCAATGATTTAATCCAGGGAGAAGCTGGTGTTAGATCTATATACTGTTAGGTATGACAAGTCAGGTTATCACAGTTTTCTATTGTATTTAAAATGTGATAATTACATAAGGTTTATCCTTGAATTGGATATATTGTATGTAACGTGATCTCCACCTTGACTCTGTACGGTTGTTCACACCCTTAACGATCTTGTGCAATGTTAATGTTTTAAGAATAACATGTAGCCCGAATCCTAGATTAGGGTCATTTTACAAAATAAACTATACCCCAATGTCGAAAATCTCTGCATGATGTCTTTGACATGTACACCAGAGAGAGAGAGAGAGAGAAATGGGGTTTAACGTTCACTCGACACAAACTAGGTCATTTCGGGACTAACATGGTTTAATTTTATTTCAATAATTCGCTTGCGCGCAGGGGTCTTTAGCAGTGGGAGGAAACCGGAGGACCCGGAGAAAACCCACGAGGTTGGACATGTATACCAACTGTTATGACGGCTGTATTAGTGTATCGTTTTGTATTTTTTAAATAAAAAACAACACAAGAGTACAATGTACCTGCAAAACTATTACGCCGTTAAGTTATTATTGGTTGTCTTGTACGAGACAGTGTATGCTTGCTTATCCGATACTAATTCAAGAATTTCTTTCTTATTTCCGGGCAAGGAGATTTTAGAATGAAACTATTGGATATATTTATGTCCTGTACTTTTCATTTGTATGTTTACGTGTACAATGCGAGGTATTAGATAATTTAGCCGGACAGCGGTGTTCCGCCTACGGTTGGGTCTCCGTTTTTGGTACCATCCGAACGACTAAGCCCACTTTCCCTATCAGCACATCAAAAGGGAAGGCCTAGAGTGAAAAATCACAAAAAATATTCTAGGCTCACGCCAGGAATCGAATCCGGAACATTCTAGTCTCAAGTCCTCGACTACCACGGTTTCCCTGTGTTTAATGTAGTATGATACTAAACCAGATTCTCTTTGGCTGATGCCGTCGTTTATGTAGAAATAATTTAGGTTGATCTAAAAAAAAAACCCAACCTAAAAAATGTTTTATTAATTGCAAATGAACATACATGTATATATAATTTTAGTTTTAATTGGCTGATTAAAGATAACACTGATACTACATGTACTGTTTAAATATACTTTTGAGTCTTGCTTAGTTTGGGTATTTTTTTCGTACGTCATCCATGTACGTGTATGAAAGGAATACGCCCGGTGTTGTTTTGATTGGTACGGTTTACAAATATACATGTATTAAAGTTTACCAACTGTTTGCTGCTGTGTAATTTGAGAAGCCGCACCGCGTTTCTCACACATTCCAAATTCATAATGGCAATTGCACTGCGTGGATGGCTAGCATGTACTTGTATCGTACAAATAACGTATTCAGTTGTACTACGGAGAGATGTGGCGTTTATATGGTATTTAACCATTTCTGGACTAATATATATTTTATTTTAATAATTCGCTTCAACCGGGGTACCTGGTTAAAACTCGCGAGGTTAGATCATTGCCCTGGGTAGGATCTAACCGAAAAAAAAAACGATCCATATGATCTACTGTGCACACGTTATGACACCCCCCCCCCCCGTTTGCTAGTGAATTTATACGGTATAATGTGTGTAAGTCAATGTTATTTATATATTAATATATTAATAAATGAATATACAATTATTCTGTAAATGGCAACATGTGCATCTGACATATACACAACTCGTGTATAATTATCACCATTATTGATTAAATCGATGTCAAACGGCTCCAATCATAGCTAATATATATATATTATTGATAGTATGAGTCACATTAATGAACCCACAAACAAAGCATGGCTGTATTAAGTCTGTAGGGTGGCCAGCTTACCTGTGGGTATTCAGATATTGTGCTTTACAGACACACAGGGTATATTATGATGTATGTAAAACATCAATTTGGCCTGTCAGCTATATAATACAATTACATGTTCGAACATGTTTGCCTAACAATTTCATCAATTTATCGTATTAAAAGCCCATGATAGACGTAATGTATTTACTGCAAGACGGTTTATTCATATTAAGGTCCCGTCAACATTAGCCCAGTCGGAGCAGAGAAGTAGGACGTTAAACCCCATTTTAAAGGTGGATTTAAAAGTTGAAATGCTAAAAGTGGAATAAACATTCTTTATATGAACATTATGTTTAGCTAATTTATCTGTTTGAAATATATTGCTAAGAGAATTAGAACACGGGCTTATCTCCATGTACGCAAATTCATTAGAATACACCCTTTTAAGTCATGAATTTCACAAATAACCTTTGAACTACCAAAACCTGAATTACACGTTGGTCTCGTTAACAATTTACCTTTAAGTGGCCTATCAAATGACAGCGGGTTAGCCTTTAATGCTTCACGTATATACAGTAGATAACTATATGCCCTAGGTAATATAATGTTAGGAATTTGGCCACGGAAAAAAACATATCTACATCCGAAAAATATGTGACTTTACACCTATTGTTTACAGTCTTTTTACAGGGAATAAAATTAATCGTTGGGTGTCTGTGTGTTAATCATTGTAATTAAATATGGGTTGGGAATTTTGTTCCACCCAGTATAATCATTATAAAGTATTTGCAAGGGGATTATTACGTCACGTAAAGACGATTACCGCCCGAGCACTTACAGACAAAAGATTATTAATAATGATAATAATTATTTATTTATTAAAGTTTCACAAATCATTCTATACAGCTAAAAACATAATATTATGTTTAATAAAAAATAAAATTAGAATGATTTCCGGCCGTAATTGACCTACAAGACACAACTACGTAAAACATGTTTAATTCTTTTAGTTCAATGACATATACTTTTCACTTATAACTCAAACTTCAACGCATATTATATTCTAACGTTTTGTTTGTTTGGGTTACACAAAAGTTTTCAGAGACTGCCCTCGGTTCATCATGGTATTACATGATTCTTATTTTTGACGGGATATACATGTATATAACAATACCTCTTGCATATAAATTACTAAAGAACCAATATAGAGATACATAATTTGTTGAAACCTTGATATCTATTGAAATGTTAAAGGCCTATATACAGTCTTAAGACCAACTAGAAATCAGCCAGATTTCTTCAAGTTTGGGAATGTGACCTCAAAGATTTGTTGAAGAGAATCCTGTCATCAACCTCTCAAAGACAATAAATTGTAGCCCAATTATTATCAATTCAGATGGTGTATTGTTAAAGTGTCATATTACACTGCTCTATATTTAGA